TGTCTTATGTAACTTGTTTCTCCAAGTTGAGCTTATGGATATGATATAATGATATAATTGTGAGCTATGATGAGCTTCATTGTCATAATTGTGTATATTGTCCAAAATGGAATTGATGATTTTATATATGGGTTCATTGATTGTATGCTTAGTACCGATACTTGAGGTTAATGAATAATTATGTCGTTAATTTTTTGTATTGATAGTGTCGAGATAGTTGACGCTATAATATAGCAGCGTCGACCACCAGTCGCTATAAGTATGTACTTGGCATCGAACAATGGATCGGTATATTCTTTAACGTATTGTCAAAACGGTCGGTCGCTATAATTAAGGTCGGACGCTATAACTTATAGCGACGCCACTTATACCCACGCGTCAAGTCGGACGCTATATGTATATAGCGACCTACCGTAGGTCGCTGTACTGACTTATAGCGACCTACCGTAGGACGCTGTAGATAGGTTGTGGTATAGTGAGGCCCCATGAGCATGGAACACCAAGCTTGACGCCACGCTAGGCGAGCTTGGGTTCCAGCGGTGCGCAACCGAGCACGCGCTCTACACGCGGCGATGGGGAAGGAGGAGCTCATCGTCAGCGTGTATGTGGATGACTTGATCGTCACCGGCGTGCGTACGGAGGACACCGACAGCTTCAAGCGCGAGATGGCGGCTCGTTTCGAATGAGCAATCTCGACGTGCTCTTCTACTACCTTGGCATCGAGGTGAGACAGGGGAAGGAGGCACTCACGCTCGGTCAGAGCGCGTACGCCTCGAAGCTGTTGGAGCAGATCGGTATGGCTAACTGCAAGCCATGCGTGACTCCGATGAAGGAGCGGCTGAAGCTGACGAAGGCCAGTACCGCGGCGAAGGTAGATGCAACACTTTACCGGAGCATCATCGACGGTCTACGCTACCTAGTCCACACGAGGCTGAACATTACATTCGTCGTGGGCTACGTCAGCCGCTTCATGGAGGATCTCCGAGAGGATCACTGGGTTGCAGTGAAGCGGCTGCTGCGCTACGTCAAGAGGACGGTGGATCAAGGGATCGTCTTCCCCAAGACCGGCTGTGTCGATGGAGGGCAGATCGTCATCGAGTTTGTCGAAACTGGTCGGCAACTCGCGGACGTCCTCACCAAGCCGCTCGGCCGTCTTTGATTCACGGAGCTAAAGAAGATGATCGGCATGGAGATGTTTTAGGGTTAGCAGCAGGATTAGGGAAATAATTGTTAAGTAAACTGCTGCTCCCTTGTGTGAATGCGCAGCAGGGGAAGGCGGCGCCGAAAAGACTCACTGATGTGACACTGTAGCCGCTGCAGGGGCAGGCGTCGAACGGCTCTTCTGCCGCACTGTAGCCACAGCAGGGTCAGGCGCCAAAGTCAGCCCTGTGTCATATCTAGTCACTGTAGCAGCATGAAAGCTGTACTGGGATTAGATGAGTAGAGTTGTATATATAGTTTGTCAATTTAACTCAGTAAAGAGAGTGAATTCAGTTTGCCATCTTCTCTGCAGAGCTTCAGCCAACGCTGGTGTTTGTGCTGTGTGCGCTCTGTTCTTCCTCTCATCTTCTAGCTCTAATTATAGTGTGTGGTAGCTAACTCGTGGTCGACATCGCTAGTGTCTGCTCAGCAATACAAGTTAGTAGTTGGATAACTCCGTGCCAGAGATCCAGAGGCTAACAACCGTGCCGCGGCGGCTCTCCAGCACCGTCCTGTCGCGCGTCAAGGTCACCGATAGGGGCAAGCAGCGACTGAAGGACGCCGATGCCGCCGCCGGCGGCCTGCAGCAGGTTGCTGTCCCGGATACGGACCAGCCCGGTCCGAGCAACTACGGCTTCGTCCATGCCATGACGACGACCACGACGGAAATGCCCTTGGGTTGGTTGTCTACCTAGGCGCTGGTAATGGCAGTGTTATGGCAGAGATGGCTGCCTACTTCGTCGACGATGGCAACAGCTACTTGAACGACGACTCAGGCTACTACCAGGACTAGGACGACGGCAGTGGCGGCGACTACGGTTTCACCGTCGGAGACAACGTTAACCATGAGTAGCTTGATCGTGCTTAGTCGTCTTTCTGAATATATCAAGCAATGACATTGATTTTTGTAACTATTCAGACTGGTTGGTTATTTAGTTGTAATTATACACGTTCGCTTAGTCTTTCTGAATTACAAATCATTACGAGATCTGTTGTGATTACATTGAAGAAAAAGGCTTATTTCACATCTCGTACGAACAAGACTTTTTTCCCCATGTGCTGCCTAGAGGAAGCTATTTCCCTCGATTTCCAGTTCCATTGCAACCATTTTATGCAGATAGGAATATGGACAGAATGAGCCCATGCTACAGATGCACGGCCCATAACTTACACAATCAAAATGGTTGAGCTCATGCCTCAGATATATCTCAAAAAAATTATTATTTATAATTTATCTAGAACAAAAAAAAACGGAAATTCTTTGGTGAGGGCGTCCATCCAGGCATATCCATCCGGACGGCCGTTCTCGGGCCTGCACAGCCATCAGGCTCAACATGCCTGCTCCGCTCCACCTTAAGTGTTTCACAGTTTCTCGAAAAGACAACGACATTTCCTTTCCTTAAGTGTTTCACAATTTCTCGAAAAGACAATGACATTTCCTTTCCCCACCAACGATGCGACCGCCACTGGTGCATCTACCACACCTCGGTTCATCTACCCATCCTGCAAGACTCCTCCGCCCATCCACCTCACGCCATCGCGGCCATGGCGTGAACGCACCAAGACACCGTGCGGGAAGGGGAGGTCTCGCTGCCGCTACCGGGTGCCTCATCCACATTCTCTTGACTTGAGTTTGCTAGCTACCGCAGTTCCCCACCAGGTAGGCACGTGGTCGCCGGTGACGCTGTGTTTCAGGCGTTTTAGACTTATGTTTTAAGTGTTTCATCTGGACGTTGCAAAAGTACATCTGGGATGTTGCATATGTTGCAATGACAACATAGGCATGTTTCAAGCCTATGTTTCAGGTGTTTTCAGAGGTATGTTTCAAATATTCCATCTGGATGTTACATACGTTGCTATGGCTCTACATGCATGTTTCAAGCGTGTGTTTCAATTGTTTTATACTTATATTGCAAGTGTTTCATCTGGATGTGCAAAATTAGATCTGGATGTTACATATGTTACTACGCCTATACATGTATGTTTTAGGTGTTTTATCTGTTTCAGACATATGTTACAAATATTTTATCTAAATGTTTTAAAAGTAGATCAGGATGCTGCTGCTGAGGCACAGCCATGGGTCAACCCACATGGGTTCCCTGTGCGGGCACGGGGTGGGCACTGTCCTACGATGACGCTGGCGCTAGGCGGGATGCGGACGTTGGGGCATGGGGCAGGATGCAGACGCAGGGTGTGGGACGAGATGTGGGTACGGGAGCTGCGTCCGGACGAACATCCCGCTAACCCTTCCGAAGAAATAATGAAGTCTTTATGTACAAGTGCAATTAACTGTGGACTACCTTCTTCACACATATATTACACTCACTGATGAATCTCTATTTTTTGGGGGAAGGATTCATATCAACAGTCATATAATTTGAAATCTCTATATTCTTTTCTATGCTCAAACCAATATTTATTTTTCCTTTGCTTACTGCTATATGGTGTGGCTACTTACAAGGGTGGAACCTGCCTAGTTCCTTGCCGTGTATCTTGATCGTGCTTCAGCTTGCTGACACATGCAGTCAGGCATGGGAAGGTTGTAAATGGATTCCTGTGGTTTCCTTAATCCGAAACCTTTCATCTCACTATGCCGACGCATGTCCTCCATGTGGTGCTTGAATCGATCCCATCTACATACAAAATTAACTTAGATACTCGTCAATTAGATGACGAGTATGAAAAAGGAAGCAAAGATCCTGCATGATCTGCCCATTGCAGGTGTTCAAACTAAAAGAGAGTAACCAGTTGCAGAAGATTTAAATGTATGTCAGCATGCAAATGGCTATACTGTAATTAGATTAGAATGGGCTTCTTTCAAGCAATCATGTTTGGCAAAACATTTATGAAACAAGGGTCATCCTGGACCAAAAAATGGCTACACGTGAATGAATTTCAGGCCACATTCATTGATACAGCTTATGAAACTTTATGAGGATAACTGAAAATATATACCTGATGTTTGGATTGTCAAAGAGTTGAACTAGCTTCTGTTTATCTGGTTTTATTGTCTTTGCATGTCCTCCGTACATATAACGTCTATGCCCCATCAGAAAGTGAGGGAAATTGCTTCCTTGTGTCATCACAAACACTTCACTGTGAAGACAGACAGTATAGTCCAGTGCTGCTAGTCTTGATGAATGTCCCTACATACAGTGTCAGCAGGCAAACTTATCCTTTGACACCTGGCTTCCATTTCTTGATGCAATACAAATGGGATAGAGAAGGGAGGCATAATTTCTAATATTTATTAGAGGACTGGAATAATCAAGGGAAAAGGTACCTTGAACTGTGCAAGCTCCTCAGGTGTAACTAGACTTTGTTTTGTTTGTAGAAATGGAAACAACTGTCGAAGAGGAGTCATGTACTTTTCAGCGTTATATATTTTACCGGATGCAACATAAAGGGAAGTAGTGTTGTCAAATCCCATTCCTCGCAACATCATTCCAACCTTGTATAAACTGAACTAGTAAGAAAATAGAAGTTACATAATACCTTATAAAATGAAGCAAATACAGTTCCCCTAAATTTTGATCAGAGATAAAGTCCAATATTATAAACTTAGGTGAGGATAATTATTCTATTCAAGGAGTAAGACAAGACAATCTAGAAATGATCTGCCAATATGACCTGGCACTCTCTGCCTGTGATGTAACTGTCCACTAGTAGACAGCAGCACCTCAGAAACATGGCATGGGCTCTAAAAATGACGAAGCAATTCAGAAAAGGCAAGATTGCAAGGAACAAATGTTGCAACCTCCAAAGGTGTCAAAGGGCATCTCCCATTCCTTCGGTTAGCCTCAGGATTTATCACTCACCAGGTCGGTGGAATTTCCTCTCCAGCTCCTTTCACGAGCATTTTCCATTGCATTATTCTCCTTCTTCGAACCACCATCATATTTGCAGCATGAAAAAGCTACCATATCCTAAACATAGAACACACAGTCATCACAACTTGAGAATTGTAGTAATGTTAGTCCACACAAGATAAACTTTAGTAAAACCTCTTCAAAGCGAAGATGCACCGAGACGTACTTCCCACCAGTTAAAAAACTCCTCTTGATCATTCGGTCAACCATATTATCTGCAAGAATTCTTATTGGTTCAGAAAATCTTAGTGCCTCATAGTTTGTCAAACATCTCAATGCCTGGATATTCATAGGAACCGAATGGGCCAGTCTATTTGAGAAAGGGGCAATACGCACAGCCCTGTGTCATAGAACAAGAAATAAGTGAAGATATGGTACTACGGGATGCTCACTGCAAAGATCTGACTCTACTTCGAGGCAAGAGGAAAAAAAAGGAAGGGAGCACGTACCCTAGCTCCAACAATTTTGGAAGCACCTGCTGTAGGTAGTAACTTGGGGGTGAGAAAGCTTTGGTTCTCATATTTGGTATTATGCTGATATTATGGTTGAATCGCACAAAAACATCTTCAGGAAGATCTTTTACAACCCTTACATATTTTCTAAGCGACTCAATGAAGTGATCTTCGTCAAAGATATCACCAAATTTGCTGAAAACTTGAAAAGACATCCTCATGAAACAGCGAGAAGAAAACTGACATATATTTTAGGTATTACAGTTTTAATTCCCAAAGGGACAGAACATGTAGAATCAGCATATTTAAATGATTAAGGGAAAACTTTATATGCTAAAAGGAGAGGTAGAGGAAGACCGAAATTGACATGGGGGGAGGCAATAAAAAGAGATTTGAAAGCTTGGGATATACCTAGAGATCTATGTTTGAATAGGAATACTTGGAAAGCAGCTATTGAAGTGCCTGAACCGTGACTTGGGGCTCTTGGTGGGTTTCAACTCTAGCCTACCCCAACTTGCTTGGGACTGAAAGGCTATGTTGTTGTTGTTGTTGTTGTTTATATGCTAAAAGGAAAGGCAGCTAATAGGATACATGGGAGCTTATAGGACCATATTGTTAACAATGACCAAACCTAAGTTGTCAAAATGCATAACTATGTAAGAGCAAACATAGCCTCAAAGGTAGCAGGCTAGCAGCAACAAGAAAAGGCTGGTGTGCATACAAAAAAGGCCACGTGCAATAGGGATCATAACCCATTTAACTTATTCACTCCAGCCTCATTATGAAAGATTAACCAGAAAAACACTTGCAAAGGAGACTACTAACAGAAGTAAGTTTCCCAACTTACTATAGTAAAGCACTAGTAAAAAACTAGTTTCCAAGAAAAGAAAAGGAGGAAGGCATATACCACATTTCAGTTACTCGAAATACATCTATGATTATTATGTAAACATAAACTTTTACCTAGAATCACGCCAAACGCTATTCAAATGAAATGCTGGTGTCACAAGAGTTGCATTAAGAATTTTGGCCACAGCAATAGCATCACAAATCTGTATTAAGAAATCTCAATCAGATAACCACCAAAAATGCATGCTGAAAAGAGGAAACCTAACTTGAACTTGAGGTGCTATATCAAAAAAGAAAAAAAAAACATCAATGAAGATTGGTAAGCACATAAAACTCCATTTGTTATTGAGACATCCATGGAAGATAAGGTACAGATATGCAATAAAATACCAACTATCATATTTAAGGAAGTGTGAGGTTGAACACATGTATAGAACTGCCAATTTATGATTTGGACCACAGAATTAACTATCAACAAACTTGACACCTTGCTGATTATAAAGAAAACAAAGATATAACCAGAACATTCTTGGCTGAGATTGGATCCCTCTCTCAAAACAAAACGCAACCATCTAGTAACCGCTAATTACTGGAGTACTGGACAATTATTTTAAACTGAGTAAGAGAGCTAATACGGCTCCGTGAAATCTCATTGTATTTTGAGGATGAACTGTTAAAAAACATTTTAATACCAACGGATTTTAGAAGTGCATGCAAATAATGATAAAATTTAGCTTCTAGATCAAAATGATAAAGTCAACATATAGAATTGGACTATTCAAATCTAGTCGGAAATGATCGTACAACTTACTGAAATGCGTTGTTGATTCAAGCCACCATTTGCCTCAACTATGAGGAAACCATTTGAAGGCGGTAACTCTGAAAAGCGTAAATGTGTGCCATCAATGTCAGCTACCAAGTTATGTTCTCTTTCCCAGCTTATATTGACAAAGAGGTAAACAAACAAGAATTGGTATTTGAGTTATGACTTGGATGTTTGGTATGCAAATTACACTCTTAAGGTTCTTTTACCTGAGTGTATCAACCCCTTGCTGATACAAGGTTCCCATTGCTTTCCAGACTTTTTGTAATGAGATGTTACTAACTGTGCAATGGAAAGACAAAAAGGAACTATGTCACATACATGTAAGATATCCTAATTTCCTAGCATAAAGAACAAGAGTTTCATGGTCCTTATGATTAAAGAAATTTAAACAGATTCACACTTGAATTCCTAAGGTTATTGAGATTATTAGCATAGTATAACTGATCAAGACAAGATCAGCATTTTCATGCTCAACCATGAGCCAAAGTCACAAAGAATTGTGCTGAGTCTTTCAAAGTTCACAACATAAAAAATAGCACATAGCCCTGAGAGTTTTTTTTTTGAAGAATCAATAGCCCTGACAGTAATAGATATGAAACCAGAGACACCACATCAACAGGACAAAATAAATCATGTCGAACACAAAATAAAAACACTTTTTCACTTCTATAGGATTATTCTTCTGCCAGTCACACAAATAAGGCACCAGAATACTACATATTTCAGGGCAATGTTGTACCTGATAATGATATGTAACAGAATAAGCAGAAGGGTTTTTAATAACATGTAAGAAGTGGCATATAATGCGATAGCAGTAGCTAAGGTCCCTTGCTATGAAACATTGAAACCTTGTGTTGGAACAGGTGGTTGTGCTCTGCTCACCGTTTAGCGTTGTGATCACCGAAAATGTTCTTCACAAATTGTTTGAAATCTAAACTACAGAACATGGAAATGGAATGTCGTCATAAAAACTGCCTCCATGAACTGTCTACGTGACTCTTTGGTACTGGTTAACAACCTCCTTTTGCAAAATTGTGCCTTCTTTTGATTACTTTATCCTCTCATCTAGCATCACCAAGTTGTAGTGTATACTCTATGCTTGTCATTTATGAAAGGGTCGTCACCTTTCTGCCATTCGAACATGAAACAAAAAGCAGCACATGCTACAGTCGCAAGTAAATTTCTACATGTAAGGTGGCAAAACATGTTTCTTTTGCCTCATGAAACGTGACTCACAGATTGTCCAAATCCCCTATTTTCTTGTAGAAGGAGCCTAATTTTGAGTGTTTCAAGCTTTGTTGAATTCAGGTGACTGGAGGTAAATTTGTCGTCCTTTTAGCAAAAGGGGAAATGGTTGAAAAAAGATTGAAAGGGCAAGAAAAGAACACAGAATAAGATTAATCTTATAGGATGACAATTTTATCAAATCGAGCCCCCACATTGCAATTCTGAAACCTTAGATGACACATTTAACCAAGCAGGGAGGCAATCGTTTATCCCCTCTCGAGGAAAACCCGGAACTTTGGCATGCAAGAACTCAATTCGGTCCCCACGAAATCAAGCCACAAGATCCTAGTATAGGGGGCAAAAAATGCCAACTTAGGGACGCTCACCGGGCTCGGCCGCGAGGCGAAGGCGCGCATTTCCGGGAGGAGCCGTTCGAACACGAGGTGGCTGCGGTACACGGACCCGGGGGACGCCGGTTGCGCGCGCAGCCCCAGCGCGCCCGCCACCGCACCGCTGGGTCCAAACCCCTCGCTGACGCCAATGGTGAGCACGAGCATCGCCGCCGCGTAGGCCAGCGCGAGGAGCAGCACGGCGGCCCGCCGCCGGCACCCGACCAGCACGCGGCCCAGCCGCCGCGCAGCAGGCTTCGCACCAGCCGTCTCGGTGCCGCGCATTGACGCCTCCGCGGCCGCCACTGACATGTCCTGGAGCGCTCCCGCGGGACCATGCGAGGCGAAGCTGCTAGCCGGTGTGGAGGAGGTGCGAGGTGGTGGCAGTGGTGGAAAGGCCGGAGAGGAAAGCCCGAAAGCGTGACCAGAGATGGCAAATGCGCAAATACGAGAGAGAAAGGTCCGGAGATGCGGTCGAATTGGAAGTTGGAACCGAATGTGGATAGAAAAGTCAAAATACGTGTATCTCATTTTTCAAAAAGTTAAAATATTTTAAAATTTAGCTACATATATATAGAAATGTATTAATGGTCATGATGAATAATAAGTGTCATTAGATTAATCATGAAATATACTTTCATAATAAACATATACAGAGATGCAAATGTCAATATTATTTTCTATATAGTTAGTTATTTTTTTAAAAAAAAATGACACCTCGAGAAACAGAATATACATTTTGAGACGGAGAAAGTATAATTAATTTAAATCTGAATATGGATATAGATATTGTTGGATATGAATACAAAATGAATAGTTTGAATTCGAATTTGCATTCGGATGTATACTTGATTTTGAAGATAATATTTAGATTTGCTTATAGATGGTTTTATAGGAAAATAAAACTACTATACATGTTAGGATTTAAAATATGGCTGTATAGCAGCGGTAGATAAAGACAACTAACATATATATATATATATATATATATATATATATATATATATATATATATATATATATATATATATATATATATATTCATAAATATTTCAACAATCAAATATGTAAAAAATAATAAAAATGTAGATAAATATTTTAGTACCAAAAAACATTTATCTATACATTATAAATAAATAAACTAAATTACTAAAAATTAATATGATTAATTATATTAAACGGCAATGTTGTGCTCCGGACGCTCCTGTTGATGGGCCACGACACTAGCACAACAGCTCAACTCTCTAATTGCGTATTTGCTTGCCCCCACCATATCTACTTGTGTTGTCCGTTCCTCACCATTCATCGCACCAACGTCGTGCCCGTACCGCCACGCGCGTGCTCCAACACGACCAAGCCGTCGTGGTGCTCTCCACCGCACCCGACCAGTCGGTGTCCTCTCTCTCTCCCACCACACTCCAGCGCCACCGCCTGCCATCCTTCCTTTTCGTCGGGCCATCCGCCCGCCACGGTATTCTCCACCACGCCAGCCACCTTCTCCACTAGAGCTGCGCGCCACTCCGCGACATTAAGCTCGGTATCGATGAGCCTCCAACTATTCAAGCAGCAAGTAGATGTTGCACTGAAAACACATGTTGCAAACATATGTTTCAAGTGTTTCAGATCTTTTAGAGCTATGTTGCTAATGTTTCGTATGGATGTTGCAAAACTAGATCGAAATATGTTGCAATGATTGTACACATATGTTGCAAGTATTTTATCCGGATGTTGCATATGTTTACAATGGTTTTCAAGTGTTTTTAGTGTTTTAGACTCATGTTGTGTTTCATTTTGTCATAAAATGAATACCTTATGAAAATATATTCTATGGTAAATCTAATGATACTAATTTGATACCTTAAGTCTTAACATTTTTTTAATGCAAATGTCAATATTATTTTCTATATAGTTAGTTATTTTTTTTAAAAAAAATGACACCTCGAGAAACAGAATATACATTTTGAGACGGAGAAAGTATAATTAATTTAAATCTGAATATGGATATAGATATTGTTGGATATGAATACAAAATGAATAGTTTGAATTCGAATTTGCATTCGGATGTATACTTGATTTTGAAGATAATATTTAGATTTGCTTATAGATGGTTTTATAGGAAAATAAAACTACTATACATGTTAGGATTTAAAATATGGCTGTATAGCAGCGGTAGATAAAGACAACTAACATATATATCTATATATATATATATATATATATATATATATATATTCATAAATATTTCAACAATCAAATATGTAAAAAATAATAAAAATGTAGATAAATATTTTAGTACCAAAAAACATTTATCTATACATTATAAATAAATAAACTAAATTACTAAAAATTAATATGATTAATTATATTAAACGGCAATGTTGTGCTAAGGACATATGTCCGTCTGGACGCTCCTGGTTATGGGCCACGACACTAGCACAACAGCTCAACTCTCTAATTGCGTATTTGCTTACCCCCACCATATCTACTCGTGTTGTCCGTTCCTCACCATTCATCGCACCAACGTCGTGCCCGTACCGCCGCGCGCGTGCTCCAACACGACCAAGCCGTCACGGTGCTCTCCACCGCGCCCGACCAGTTGGTGTCCTCTCTCTCCCACCACGCTCCAGCGCCACCGCCTGCCATCCTTCCTCTTCGTCGGGCCATCTGCCGCCATGGTATTCTCCACCACGCCAGCCACCTTCTCCACTAGAGCTACGCGCCACTCCGTGACATTAAGCTCGGTATCGACGAGCCTCCAACTATCCAAGCAGCAAGTAGATGTTGCGCTGAAAACACATGTTGCAAACATATGTTTCAAGTGTTTCAGATCTTTTAGAGCTATGTTGCTAGTGTTTCGTATGAATGTTGCAAAACTAGATCGAAATATGTTGCAATGGTTGTACACATATGTTGCAAGTATTTTATCCGGATGTTGCATATGTTTACAATGGTTTTCAAGTGTTTTAGTGTTTTAGACTCATGTTGTGTTTCATTTTGTCATAAAATGAATACCTTATGAAAATATATTCTATGGTAAATCTAATGATACTAATTTGATACCTTAAGTCTTAACATTTTTTTTGTAAAAATTTGGTCAAAGTTTAAAAAATTTGATTTAAGACAACTCTAGACATAATCTATTTGTTCAGAGATAGGAGTACTGCATACGGTGGCCCACCAATGGGAGAGAGAATCCCATATGGTACTCTTTGGCTCGCGGGGATACTTTTGTGCCCCTAAGAGCAAATATAATAACAGGCTATAAGCTAGCTAAATGCTGAGGTGAAGAGAAGAGAGAGTAGAAGTGGGCTATAAGCTTACAGTCCGCTTAGGCACAAGAACTAAAAAAAACTCTATATGCCCCGTTCGCTTAGCTGAATTTGGCTGAAAAACATTGTTCCGGATGAATTGGTGTTAGAGAAAAACACTGTTCTGGCTAAAAAAAAGCCGAACAAGCCGCCTTTGAAGGTCAGCCGAATGGCACCTATGAGATACACATATGTGCCATGTATTAATAGTGAACACCTTACTAATATATGGTCGGACTGGAACAAGCACTACGTAAAAATCGATTTTTAGCAACGGTTTGAATTTTTTGTAGGGGCGGCTGGTGACGGAGCCGCCCCTACAGTGGCGTGCTCGGGTGCCAGACACCAGCCGACCCTACAAATAGAACAGCAGGGGCGGCTGGTGATACGAGTCGCCCCTACAAATGAGGTCTGATTTATAGGGGCGGCTCAATCACCAGCCGCCCCTAGAGTTGCTATTTGTAGGGGCGGCTGGTGATTGAGCCGCCCCTACAAATACCCCCGTATATATAGCTCCGATTTATAGGGGTGGCTCAATCACCAGCTGCCCCTACAAATGACCCACGTATAAAACAGCTACAGCACCTTCTTCCTCCTCGGGTCACTCACTCTAACCTGTGAAAGAAAGGTGGGGAGGCCTTGGGCACCTCCCAAAAATTGCTCTACTAAGGATGAATGTTTTGATCTCAAATCCTTTGGTGGAGAGGTTATAGAAGGTAAGAAAATGCTATTCCACACTTTTTTTAAGTTTTAATGGTTGGTTAGTGAGTAATTAGAGTTTTATTTTTCTCTCTCTTCTATGGTGCTTGAGCTACTTATGAAGCAAATTAGACCCAAGTTTTAAATGTACTAGGGTAAATTAGGGAGGGAAACAAGATCATACCCTTATTTGATCCATATTTCTTGATTTTAGTGAAAAATTAGTTAGTTTTACAGATGTTTCATGTGCACGTGGATCTAGATCTAGGGTTTGATTTTTTATTAATTTTGTTTTTGTAAATTTATGTTTGATAAAATTGGACTAGGGTTTGTATGAAAGATATTGGGTAAAGTATAATTGTTGCTAATTGTTGTCTTTAAAATTGTTTATTATAATCAATAAATATGTATTTTAATTATTTAAGGATAAATAGGCCATTAATTAATTTTTCTCTACCATGGTGTGTTTGTATGCTTCATGTAATTATATTAGATTTATATTCATATATATCTAAAGTATATACAATTATTATCAAGTAATTATTAATTTGTTTCATTTTTATATATATCTGAATAAGTAGTCCTTTAATGTTTGTTTTGTTGTTGTTGTAAAAGATGGAGTACAGAAACTCTTAGATGTATGGTTCGTTAAGGTTCAAGGCAGGTTTCCTTGAAGAGGTGGATAAATTTATTGAAGCCGCAAAGAAGCATGCAACGACATTGAAAGAGAATAAGGATACAATTATTTGCCTATGTAAAGATTGCAAGAACCGTATGGCATAGATAGATGTGACTATCATCAGATCACATTTGATTATGCGAGGATTTGTTGAGAACTACACAGTGTGGATTCATCATGGTGAAACGATTATTGTTAACGACGAGGATGAGGACGAATACAACGACGAAACCATAGAATCCCTGTCCCAATATTCAGCAGAGCTTGATGCACGAATGGATTTCAAGTTTGGCAATGAACAAGGTGGTGATGCTGGTGGTTGGGATGGTAACGACGAAGGTGGTGCCAATAATGATGGTGGAGCACGTGTCGGGGATGAAGATAATTTGTAGGACATGATTCGAGCCCTTTGACCAGAGATTTTACTAAATAGCCCGAAAGGTCTAGAAAATTTAGAAATAGTGACAAAAGCATCGAAGGAGATTATGTATGGTGTTGAAAAGGGTTGTCCGACACATTGGACATTGCTACATTTTGTGCTTGAGCTGCTCATCCTGAAGGCTAAGTACGGCTGGTCAGACTATAGTTTCAATGATCTATTGCATCTCCTGTCATGGGTGCTACCA